ATTTTTTCTGTTTTTCAGGTTTTTGTTAGACTGAGAAATCTAAAACTTTGTACCAAATTGATTTATGAAGAGAAGTAAGAAAGTTATAGTTGATTTAGAATTTTACGCGTCATAATATTGTATAATGCTTATATAGCCATTTTGAGAAATTGAGTATAAAAGTAAAATGGTTCTCACTGGCTAATGAATGAATATATTTGTATGATTTTTGGACAGGATATTCCAGATACATTGTAATGCAAATTGAAACAATGAAATAATTTTAAGCTTCCATGCAGACGTCAAAAAAAAATTATTTCTGCAGTCTTTATTTGTACGAATATACTTCAAGCTATTTACATTGTATTTTCAACTTTAGTCAGGTAACAAATTTGTTTATTCTGAATTTTTTCTGTTTTTCAGGTTTTTGTTAGACTGAGAAACTTAAAACTTTTTACCAAATTGATTTATGAAGAGAAGTAAGAAAGTTATAGTTGATTTAGAATTTTACGCGTCATAATATTGTATAATGCTTATATAGCCATTTTGAGAGATTGAGTGTAAAAGTAAAATGGTTCTCACTGGCTAATGAATGAATATATTTGTATGATTTTTGGACAGGATATTCCAGATACATTGTAATGCAAATTGAAACAATGAAATAATTTTATGCTTCCATGCAGACGTCAAAATAAAATTATTTCTGCAGTGTTTATTTGTACGAATATACTTCAAGCTATTTACATTGTATTTTCAACTTTAGTCAGGTAACAAATTTGTTTATTCTGAATTTTTTCTGTTTTTCAGGTTTTTGTTAGACTGAGAAACCTAAAACTTTTTACCAAAATGATTTATGAAGAGAAGTAAGAAAGTTATAGTTGATTTAGAATTTTACGCGTCATAATATTGTATAATGCTTATATAGCCATTTTGAGAGATTGATTATAAAAGTAAAATGGTTCTCACTGGCTAATGAACGAATATATTTGTATGATTTTTGGACAGGATATTCCAGATACATTGTAATGCAAATTGAAACAATGAAATAATTTTAAGCTTCCATGCAGACGTCAAAAAAAATTTATTTCTGCAGTCTTTTTTTGTACGAATATACTTCAAGCTATTTACATTGTATTTTCAACTTTAGTCAGGTAACAAATTTGTTTATTCTGAATTTTTTCTGTTTTTCAGGTTTTTGTTAGACTGACAAACCTAAAACTTTTTACCAAATTGATTTATGAAGAGAAGTAAGAAAGTTATAGTTGATTTA